ATCAGCTGCCTCCTGCACATCTCCTACGAGGGATGTGCCCGCAACCCAGGTACATGCCCTTGACCGGAATCGAACCCGGGACCTTTCAGTCCGCAGGCCGACGCTTTGGGAGAGAAACTGGCCGCTTGGCGGTGAGTCAGCTTCTCTCTGACAGTCCCCGCTGGCTCATGTGAAGGCAGTAACCTTCCCGAAGTAGAGATGTGACATTCCACAGCAGGGGGCACTCAAGGAGCTTCATCCCTTCTGCGGCTGCTGGACAACTCCCATCCTAACTCCCTGGTCCCAGCCATAAGCTCCCCCATATCCCTTGTAACAGCTGACTAAAGTTTCAGATTTAGTTACTTACAAAGGAAACACACACACACACACACACACACACACACACACACACACACTCTTATATTTCCATTCTTTCCTAATTGGATAGAGACACAGAGCCTTATTTAGATAGTCCTTAAAATCTGTACCCGCATCACCTTTCCACTCATAGTACTTTTAGAATGTCTTCCTCTCTCTCAAACCCCTGGAAGGTAACCCCGGGAGCACTCCGGTTCTACTGTGAAGAATGCTGTGCTCTGAACCACCACAGCTTTGCTCTGAGAGGCTGTGCTGTGCTCCTGGGCTCAGGAACTCAACTGTCTGGGATTAACTCTGTTTCTCCACAGACCGGCTGTGTGACCTTGAGTAAGTGATGTGACTTCTCTGTGCCTTGGTTTTCTCACTGGGAATCATCCCTTCCTCCCCTCCCTGCATGTGCCTGCCACCCCCACACCATTGAGAGGTGTAGCCCATCCCTCCACCCTCCTAGATCTGGACTGGGTGGTGCCCAGGGCTGTCGAGCCTTAGAGGACTGGCCTCACTGCTCGCTGATTGCAACGACATGGGAGGCCCACTCAGCCGATCACAGTCAAACCACGGAACCCTGTGAAATAGTAATAAATGTTCTTTTAAGCCACTAAATTTGGTGGCTCCGTGCAGCAAGAGATAACCACACTACACATGGATGGGGGTGATCATAACAGTGTCCACCTCAAAGGGTTGATATGAGGATTAAATGAGCTAATATTCGTTAGATGCTTAGAACAGTGCCTGGTAATTCCAATGGCCATATAAGAACATTTTGAACAACAACAACAACTAAAGAATGACCTAGTGCTCTGAAGGTATTAGAGCAGTGGTTCTCAACCTTGGCTGCACATCATCCGAGGCCCAGAAATCAGGATTTTAAAAAGATTCCCAGGTGATTCTAACGTGCAGCCAAGGTTGAGAACCACTGTATTAGAGTCTCAAGCTAACAGATACTCATTTTGAGGAAAGTACAGTACTTGTCACTGTCCCAGTCCCTGGTCTTTATATAAACTTTAGTCAATATGGAGTCAGTTGTTGGTGGTGAAAATACTGTTCTTAAAAGCAAAAGGTACTATCCTGTCTTAGAGACCAGAAAGCCCCTTAGCTCCCTTATGGCTCTGCCACCACAAGACTGCTTGGGGGAGAAACTGGAAAACAGTTGTGAACGGGCTTTGAAGAACATAGGTTCTTTAGCCTTTACTGAGACACCTCATTTCTGACCCTCCCCCCGTGAGGTCTGCACTTCCTTAAACCCAGGCCCCATAGTTCTTTGCTGCAACCAGTCTCTTGCCAATACCTCAGCTTCCTTGCCTCTTCATCCTTTGTTCTTCCCTCCCCGCAAATGGTGAATCCTTTCTTTTTCTTCTCCCCATACATAGCTAAGCTTCTTCATCTAAAAATATATTTTTATTGATTTCAGAGAGGAAGGGAGAGGCAGAGAGAGATAGAAACATCAATGATGAAAGAGAATCATTGATCGGCTGCCTCCTGCACGCCCCACCCTGGGGATCGAGCCCCAGTGTGTTTCAACAATTCTGAAACCAAAAGGTTATCCTCGACCCCTCGCTTTCCATATCAATCCAACATCAAGTCCTGCTGATTTTATCTCCTAAGTAGCTCTCATTCCACCCCCTTCTCTCCATCTTTACTGACAATACATAATCCCAGCCACGCTCACCTCCAGCCTGGACCACTGCAATAGCTTCCTAACTGCTCTACCTCTGGCTACTACCATCTTCTAAGTCATTCTCTACATTTCAGCCACAGTGACTTTTTCACGATACGAATTTGATTAAAATACCTCTTTGTGTCCTAATCTGCTTTAAACAATTCAATGGCTTGATATTGCTCTTAATAGAAGATTCACTTCCTTAGCATGACCTAGGAGGCCCTACATGGTATGGCTCCTGTCCTCCAGACATTTCAGATCCATCTCTCGTGCACTCTGGCCACCTCCGGCTTCGGATGCACCGTGCTCCTTCTAGAAGCAGACTTCTCTACACGCTGTTCCCTCTACCTGGATGGACACCCTCTTCTCTTTCACTCTTACTTATCTTTCAGACCTCAGCTCAAGTTACTTCCTCAGGATGACTTCCCTGAAATTCCAGACTAGGTTAGGTCTCCCCACCGGATGTCCTCATAGCACCACATAGCTCTTCTTCACAGCACTCATTGCAGTTGTAGTTATATAGCTTTTGTGATCCCCAGTAGGGCCTCAGCTCCAGGGACTGTTAGTTTTGCCCACTCTTGTATTCCCAATACCTAGCTCCAAAGTTTTGAATGATCTCACCGGTTTGATTCCCAGTCCGGGCACATGCCGGTTGCACGCTTGATCCCCAGTAGGGGGCGTGCAGGAGGCAGCTGATCAATGATTCTCACTCATCATTGATGTTTCTGTCTCTCTCTCTCCCTCTCCCTTCCTCTCTCTAAAAAAAAATCAATAAAAACATATTTAAAAAATAGCTATGAATTGTTGATTGTTGAAATTGGATAATAGGTACACTGGGTTTCACCATAGTATTCTACTTTTGCATATGTTTGAAATTTTTCCTATTAAAATATTACATAGAATAGCCGTTTTCAACTGGAGTGCCACAAGAAATTTTTTTAAAAAGAATTTCTTCTAAATGAAATACCTATTTAGTCAGGAGCACTGACCAACACAACAGCCAACACAATAGCCGTCCAGTGTGAATGAATCAAAATTATACCTATTTGTCAGATTGGCAAAAAATATAATTTTTGGTGTGCCAAAAATTTTAGTTATTAATGTGTGCCATGAGATGAAAAAGGCTGAAATTGCTGACATAGAATAATTACATAGAAGTAATACTTTTCAAATTTACTTTAGAAAAGGGTTGCTGTTCTCAGCCAAATATTCTAAAAAAGTAGATTTGACGTCTTAGATGTCAAGCATTAAATAATAAAAATGTAGTCACATTTCTATTGTAAACAGTCCTTTCATTAGTTGTCTAAATTTGGAGTGTTTCATTTTAAAAATTGAACATAGGCTCACTGACCATCTTGCTTGAAGAATCATGAGCAAGGGTTGCAGACTGGAGGGGAGGGAGGAGCCTGCCCTCTTCCAATGGGAGGTTATTAGATGGCCAGGAGCTGGGGAGGGGAAGGTGAAGAGTCCTCAGATATGGAGGAAATTGAAATGGGAAAAAAAAATCACTGAGGTCTGCAAAGAGGAACTGATGGAGACAGAGGGAGTGGGACCAAATCAATCAACAGGCGATGAGAAAAGGGGAGCGTAGCAACAGGAATCAAAAGATCCAAAATAAGAACTAAAAAATATGTACAGACAGGATTGATTCATACGAGTCACTGTTATCCTTTTAATCCAGGTACCTTCACAACTGTTACAAATTCTTTTAATATTAAACCTGTTTTGCTAGATAGTGAAGTTAGTTTTAGCAGACAGCAATTATGAAATTTTGGGGGCATTAGTTTAGAATTGCCCTTCAAATACAAAATTGATGCTACCAGCCCGGACTGGAAATTTGAGTTATTTTCCACAGCTCATTTGGTGATGAACTGTGATGCCCGAGCCACCGACACGCCCTTTCACAGTGCCCACTGTGACGAACGGCAAGCGTTTGAAGATCATTAGCTAAAGTTCAGAGCAGCGGATGTGATGATGGAACAGCTTTTAATGTGAAAAATGTTAGCGTGTAATAGCATTAAACTATAATGTCAGTCCATATTCTTTAAAAAAGTGTACAAACTCTCAAAAACTGAATTCATTGGGGCAACATCCCAGGATATAAAAAAAGCCAAATGCCCACAGTAGTGAGGCCTCAGGAAGTTGATTAGTGATGAGTCCGGGGAAGCTGAGCCGAACGGCCTCTTCAAAGCTGTCATTGTAACAGCTACCCTCCTGAGGCTGAGTTACTTTGTCAGGTCTTCTCTCTTCACTCTCTGTTCAGTTTACATTAAGCAGTTCTAAGGTGTTGAGAAGGGACAAAACATGGGCTGTGGTGTTGGGCAGCCCTGGGCTGGGACCCAGCTTCTGCCTGGCTCTGGGATCTTCTCAAAGTCACTATGAAATGTGAATAATGACATCTACTTCCCAGGGCTGTTGGGGAAGGACTGGATGAAACAGCCCACGAAAAGACCATTGTCAAGTGCCTGGTACTCCACAGGTGTAATCTGTTTCCCGTGGATGAGTACAGCAGAATACTTCCAATACTCTGTGATTTGTCATGACACCATCAGGCCTATCCAAAGCACTAAGTTACCGGAAGACTTCCACTTCTTTTATTCTGGCTTAAAAAAAAGATTTTTATTGATTTCAGAGAGGTAGGGAGATAGAAACATCAACGAGAGAGAATCATTGATTGGCTGCCTCCTGCATGCCCTCTACTGGGGATCGAGCCTGCCCTCAACCGGAATCGAACCCAGGACCCTTTAGTCGCAGGCTGATGAGCTATCCACTGAGCCAAACCAACGAGGGCTGCTTTTTTAAAAAAATGTCATATTGCATTTGAGTAGTAAGCATGTAAGTGGGTACCACGGAATGTAGACACGTGAGGAGATAGCAATGTATCGATGAATAATACGCAACATGACGCTGTGACGCACACCGATGAAACAGCTGCTTGGCTGCATAAAAGAAGTAACATTAAAACATTAAAAAGAGACTTAACATAGGAACAAGCTATTTTAATCAAGCAAAAACAAATTTATATTCATTATTTCTAAAAATAAAATTAGACTTTTTCCAACCCTTAACATCTGCATTTAATAATATCTTCTAAACAAAATACAGATGCTAAAACAGCAAATTACAATATATCTCGTACAGCATACAGTATGTTCACTGTTTACACTCACTTGAATTCTAGTTGGTCGTTATGTACTCAATGCATACTTAAACATCACTCAAAATAATGTTTTCACAATTAACAAAAAATGTGACAAGGCTGTCTTAAAACGGCTCTGCTATAAATTGTGTAGAATATACAGAATTACAAAGTCAAGTATTTTTTATCAAAATATACACCCCTCCCTGAAACTAACACAAGCGGTCAACGTTTTAAACGAATAATACAATTATAGAAAATATTTGCAAAATTATTTTTTTCATGTATAAATATTCTGCCATATTTACTTTGGTCTAGAATTATCAGCATACAAGTCCACTTAAAAAATATCCACATGTAAGGGCTGGGAGACATCACTACATGGAATAACTTCTTATTTGGAGTTACCTCAAATCAAAATGACTAAAATACACAATTATTTTTCTTGATTCATAATCCTAATTGATAAAACAAATCAGCAGATCACAGGATTGCTTATTCAGTATTCTAATTATTAATTCTTCAGCCCTTTGTGACTATCTTTTTAACAAAACCCAAATGAATAGTGCAGGTATACATATATACAATGTGTAAAATAAAGTTGAATTTGCTAGCATTTTTTCCATTTTCCTCTATTATATAATACTGTATGTAACTGAATGTGTTTGAACAAAAGATAAATGCAGATACAATATTGGGGTTACTTAACAGCAGAGTACTACAGTATTACAAGGTCAGCGTTGATCATGTCCTTTTCTGGGTGTTTAAATGCTCTCTTGCCCACCCAAATCCGTATTCATTCTTCTTCATGAAGACATCCCCTTTGGAGAGAGAAACTGGAGTCCTTTGAGCTACTTCTTCGTAATGGTAACTCTGCAACCTTGGGTAGCCTTGGGTTTCCATCTATCAAATCCCATGAACATGAATGGCTGCAGGTCACCCTTGAGCCGATTCCCAGATTCTGCTCATACTGGTGATCAAAGGATAGGAATGCTTTCTCTCTGCCTCCTATGATGGCAGTTTAAAAAGTAAGAATCATGAGTTCCAGCTTCCTGGGACCTAGTCCAGATGATGGACCGCTTGTGGGGCAATTAGACTTTGAGGGCAATGTTGATGATGTGGGTCAACATAAAAGAACATTAAAAAAACGTAAGTGGGCTTTTTTAGCAAGGGGGCTAGAGGTCTGTAAACATGAAGACAAGGCATCTGACTTTGTGGATATATTTCTGAGTCACATAAGTGATCGAATCTTATCACCCCATATTCTACCTCCCTCGCCACCCCCAAACAAAGCTACTGTTTGAGGCAAGGACGGTCCGCCCTTCCTGTGGCCCACTCAAGTCTGTAACGGGTGGGGCGCAGTGTGTGTTTCTGTTGTCCTTTTGTTTTATACTAGTCTCTGCTTGTGGGCTGCATACTCTCCAAGAAAACTATCATTGTAGGGATTAGGCTTTCTGTCCCTTTCCAGCGCTGGGCCCTCACCACTGCATGCATGCTTTGTGTTAAATTTCCTAGACACTCCTTCAGTGGAACGGGAGGTGTCAGGTTTTGCTTGATCCCTTGAGCCGGGGGAAGTCTGTCTGGAACAGACCTCCACATGCATGGCCTTGTGATGGATGGGTGACTGCAGGGAGTTTCAGAAGAATGCGGACCTTCTTCATTTTCTGAGGTGAGGCCATTGGAAAGTAATACACAGCACAGGCCACCACAGATAAATTCTGGGAAGGCTTTCCCCATAGATAAGGCAGGACCTATGTTTTCTCTGACTTGAACAGGCCAGTTCTAATAACAGCTCAGCCATAACCTCGAGAGAACAGCATTCCATCTAAAAGCATAGACATGCTCTTTTAAGTCATATTCAAAATGCTTTCTACTGGTTTTTTACACCAGTCCTCATTCTTTGCAGATCTATTGCTCATCGTTATAACTCTCTACAGGGGACATGGACAGTTAAAAGTTAGGGTGATTTATATATGTATTTTACAAGGTTTGTGTTGCAGAAAAGTAGTTCTAATATATGCATGTCCTACTTAGGTTACTCATTTCACACATAGTTTTTAACTACATTAAGTATTTAATAGGTATCCATTGAATTTAAACAATTTTCAATAGTGCAGAAGCTGAATGGGAATGACTGTCAGAGCCCATTGACCTTGGAACTTGCTTATGCAGTTGACATTTTCATGATGTCTGACCCTTTTCTCCAGTGACTAAAGACAGTGTAGCAGCCAGTTCCTAATAGCACTAACCAGAAAGTTTTAAATTAGGCTAAAGTTAAACTCTTTTCCCCCCACTGGCAGAAATACCACAGCTAAGAACTTCATAAACTTTCACACGATACTCGGGGTATTGGCGGAGTCAGCTATTTCATTTTTGCGCACTTTGTAAGACGTTAACGCTAAAACCCAAAGTAGATATTGGGATCCTTTTTTTCTGAAATTTTCACAAATGAGATTTTCTTTTTTACAATTCACTCCTTCATGACTGTTAGGTGAACAAAACAAAACTAAACTTAAAACACACACATACACACACACACAACAGCTAACTAAAAAAACAACAAAAAAAAACCCCCACCAATTTATATTTTTGAAGACTTTTTTTTTCTGTGTCATCACTCAAAGGACATTTCCAACAATGGTTTGTAGATGATCCTTTTGGTCATTGTCTTCTGAATCCATGAAATGTGGATTCTCCAGCGGATTCGAGTTTTCGTGGTACATATCACCTTCTATTTTCTCCTGCTGACTCGGGCTTCTGAACAAGTGTTTCTTCTGGTGCATTCCAAGGGCAGCCGCTGTTTTGCAAATTTTGGGGCACTGGAAGCAGGCAAAGCCCTTCCCGTTGTGCTCCCGAATGTGCCTCTGCTCATGATTCCGTTTCGTGGAGAGGTACAAGAAACTCTGGAAGCAGAACTGACAGTGGTAGCGCTTCTCGCCGGTGTGGATTCTCTCGTGGATTTTGAGGGTCTCATTCAGCGTGAACGCCTTGTTGCAATACTGGCAGATGAACTCCTTGACGCCCAGGTGGATGCGTTCGTGTTTCTGTAAGTTTCCTTGCACCGAAAAGCACCGTCCGCAGGTCTTGCACGGGTACGGCTTCTCTCCGGTGTGACACCTCATGTGCATCTTGAGCGTGGAAGGGTTCTGGAACTGCTTGGCGCAGAACTCGCAGGCATACGGCCTGGCGGTGAGATGCCGGTGGGGCCTTCCCTGGTTCCCAGCCCCCAAGGCCTTGTCTCCGTCGCAGAGCTCACACTGCAACTTGGGCATCTCTTTGTTTTCTTCTTCCTCGAAGGCCTTCTCCGGAGGAGCCTTGCCCACGGCACAGTCCAGTTCTGCCGGGTACTTATACTTGGTGCCTGGGCTCCGACTCCCGTGCTCTTTCCTCCAGTGGGCTTTCCTCATTTTCCTCAACTGTCTCGATTTCTTTTTGGGTTTGTAGTTGTAGTAAGGGCGCCACGGCTTGTCCGTGGAGTCCTGGTCGCTTGCGTCATCGAACATCTCACTCATTTCCATGCACTCGGACTGGCAGAGCTCGAGCGGGCTGTCGCCCTTGGGGTCCAGGTCACTCTCTTGCGGCAAAGCCTCCTCCTGCGCTTCGTACTTGGGTCTTCTCCCTCTTTTGTAGAACAGCTTGGACCCTAGGATATGCCTTTTCACAATGGCTTCATTCCCGATTTTGACTGTTATTTGGCAAAGGGGCGCGACGTTGCTGTTTGTGGAGGTGCCAGGGAGAGCAGGCTTCGCGATGTAGGTTTCGATTTTACTGGTTTCTTTACTGGCATTCGTGGTTTTGCTCAGCGACCCTCCAGGATCAGCAGCGTATCTTGATTCCTCTGGTACGTCTCCCCTGTCACAGGGGATGGTTTTCTTTTTCTCCTTCATGCCTCTGTGTCTGCTGACCACTCGCCCCACTTTGTCCGGCTCGGGTTTGCTGTCCTCTTTCAGGGTCTGACCGACAGCGGGGCCGGGAGGGGCTCTGTGGTTGTTGCTGGACAGGGCAGCCACCGTGCCGCTGTGCACGATCACCGACGAAAACTGGCTGCTGTGCACAATGACCGAGGGCGCTGAGCCGCCGTAGCTGATCACAGACGCCGAGTTCTCACTGCCATGACTCAAAGACAAAGCAGGCACCCCCCCGGCCGGGAGGTCGGAGCTGACAGCATTTCCAGAGAAGGAAAGGGACATCTCCTTTGAATAAAAGTTATTGTCAAGGTCAACTTTCAACGACTCCTCTCCCCATTTGGACCCCTCTGCGTTTGGAACATTGGCAGAAGTGGGTCTGTTCTGACCTGTGGCCGCTTCCAGCGCGACAGCTGGACTGTGGGTCACGGTGTGCACGCTCTCGGGGAAATTCAGAGCCGGTAACTCAGAGCCGCGTGGATTCTGAACAACATAGGGACCAGCTGCAGGCTCGTTCACCTGCCTGTTCTCTCGAGCATTTTCATAGGAAGCACTTCGGTAGCTCTTATAAGGGGCCCTCTTGCATTTCATGGGCAGCAGCCTGTACAGTTTATATGGATAGACACTAGGTTTCAAGCCTCCGTTTGCCGTTTTTTTACTGATGGACAGTCTGTGGTCAATGGCATGGAAAGACTTCTGGTGGTTTTTGAGTATATAGTAGGTCATGAACGTTTCCAGGCAGAAAATGCACTGATACCGCCTCTCTCCCGTGTGCCAGATTTCGTGTCTGGTCCTGTACTCAGCCAGTGCGAACACTTTGTTGCAGTAATGGCAAGGGTATGTTCTTCTCCAGGAGTGGACGTTTGCATGTCGGCGGAGGCTGGATAGAGTCACATAACTGCGCTTACATACGGTACAGCTGTAGAGCATCTGCCCATTAACCAATTTAACCAGGTGGTCCATCTCTGGCAAGGTACTTCCGGGACTGGAAAATTCACCAATCCTGTTTCCAGATAATAAAGACTCTGGGCCTGGGAAGGAACCTCTGTTTTGTCCAATGGTAGGATAGTTTTCTAAAAAGCACTGATTTCCTCCTGGAACGGGTATGTGGCTGGACCGCATGCAGATCTGCTCGTGCCGGTCCAGCCTGTTCGGGGTGCTGAACTCTTTGTTGCAGTACTTGCACACCAGGGGCTGCTGGGTGGGCTTGTGCAGCTGCATGTGGGCACCGAGCAAAGTGCTGCTTTCAAAGGACTTGGAGCAGGAGCTGCAATTGTAAACGAGAGGCGGGACCTCCGCTGCTGGCGGCCCGGGGACCTCAGAGGATACGTTCTCATCTTCCCTGGGGAGACGGACATCTCCGTCAGTGTTGGGAGATTTTGAGCCAGAAAGAACTGCGGCTGGCTGTGGGCTCCTTTCTTGATTAGCCTCCACGGTGGTTGCTGGAGGGGGCGGTGCCTTTTCAGTGGCTGGTTCGGAATCCTGGGGTACGGAGAGTGCCTTCGGCTTCCGGCCTGCGGTCGGCTTTTCGGCCACAGCTTCCCCGTTTTCTTCACCTGTCTTACCGGGCGGGCTGCTGGCAGGTTCGCCTGCGGGCGGGGGCTGACTCCGGTAGGCCTCAGCCACGGAGGAGACGGCGTAGGAGTGCTCGGCCAGGGTCCGCACGGGCTCTGCCTCATGACAGACATCAGTCCTCTCCAGGCAGAGGCTGGCGGTTCTCATGGAGTCGGAGACCTTTTTGAAACTCGCCCTCAAGTCCAGTGGAGAAAACATGTTATTGCTATTTTCCGTCTCGATGATGGAAAACGCATTTGTGATCCTTGGCCCGTTGGTGATGGCTGGTTCTTCATGCTGTCTCTTTTCATTTTTTTCTTCTTTAACCACTCCCTTTTCAGTAATGCAGTACACATAGGGCCCGGGGGGACTGGAGAAGTTGCGATTGGTCAGATCTTCCAAGAAGGATATTCCCAGCTTTTTCCCTGCAGCTGCGAGATCGGTGACCGTTTCCTGCCTCTTGACGACGACCGTGGAGCTGTAGATGTAATTAAGGATTTCTGTAAACACTTCGGCTTTGAGATCATCCAGCTCCAGGACGTGGCTGGAAATGCAGATGGTATGGCTCCAGAAGATATTTTTGAAATAAAGGCTTGAAGCAGCCAGGACATTGCTGTGGGCTTTAAATTTGGTGTCTTCCACAATGATAGTGACATCACACAAAATGCCCCGAATGCGCTGCTCGTTTAAAATGGAGAGCACCGTGTCACTGTGAAAGTCGTCCTTGAAGTCCCTGGAAAGGGACATGACTGTCATCTGAAATAAGAGGAGAGAAATGGTCAGAGATCCTTCCACAAGGACCTTCTTTGTGTCTAGATTATTTTCAACCTCTTTGAAAAAAAAATTTTTTGCATGAAAAGACAGGTTTTTATGTCATTCTGTTGTTGCTTCCAAGACTTGGAGTCAATATGAGAAGCTAAATCTTTATCTCGCCCCAGCCTGTTTCTCAGACCATTGCTAAGAGTTGCATAGTTGGAAATCCTCTCGGAACTCTTTCTCTGAAGTTGCAGCTACATATACATGTCCAAAGTGGGGGGAGCAGGGTTCCCCCCCAAAATGTTAAGGGTCTCATCATCACTCCAGCCTGCTGCGTGGAACTCCCAGAGCTGGGCAATGCCATGGTCCTGCCACAAGCCTCCCATCATTTTCAAAGATGGCCTGATGATCTGATCCAAACAGAGTTCATGAAGGAGGACAATGATTTTTCTTTAAGTTTCCCCTAAGTAATCAGTGCCTGTATGTAAAGGTATCATTACCTGCTCAGAGAAGCAGCAAGATCTGGGTTTCTCAGTGGAAAGTGACAGCATGCATGACCACATCTGACCACCAGGGGCGCCGTGCCCCTCTGTGGGACCCACCCGGTTCCTTCTCTGATTTCCCTTTCATTACAGCCAAAGGAGAGTAGGGTTTTCAAATAGAACTCTGTGAGGTACTGAAGACAAACAAAAAATATGAAACCAGGAAAGTATGTTTCTGAGCCCACAATACTGAGTCTATTCACAGGCTCCTAAATTAGCACAATTTAAAGGCACAGTGGCTCTGGCCTGAGGATCCCAGCTCTGTTTTTCCCAGAGACGAGATCTTGTTATTCTCCACACATGTTCTATAATCAGCCTGGAATGGCCAGGGCCTGCCAACTAGTACCCTCGCGAGGGGCAGTCAAAAGCAATGGCGTTCGTACTGACCTACAATAACTACATGACACACCAGTGACCCAAGACACAAATGAAATTAAAACGTGACCCTTACTGTGTGTGACGCAGTCTGTTCTGTTCTATTATCTTTAATTATAAAATGCCAACAGCAACTCACTAAACTAACTGCACTGTACAATAAGATATCATCCCTGCAGTTAAAAAAAACTCCACAAAACCCCCCTCTGGTCCACAGGATACACTAACCAGCCATTCATTCAGTCTCTCTATCCCTTGTCAAGTGCCATCCAGAAAGCCACGGAGTTTGATGCTATTTCTTTATCTCCCAGTGGCAATGGAGTCTTACAGTTGGCTCACGGCGCTGATTCAGTTGGAAAGGCCAGATGGCCACATAAACAATCTCTTTTTACCCTTTTGTAGAGCTGATACAAGCTGTGCCCATTATGTTACTCAACATCCTTTATGTAAGGGTCCATTTGATAATTTTTTAACCATTTGTACGCCATAAATGTACATTTAAATTCAAAATATCGTGGCGGTTAACTGGTTAAATTTCATTCAGCCAGAAGAAAAAGTACACTTCTACTAACAACTTCTTCAATTCAGATAATGAGAACAGTATATTCCCCATGTGTCTCTTAATTCTTGAGACAAGTTAGAATTAACCTTTATCATCAGTTGTGGTAGCCACTGTGAGCCTGGGTTCCTGGTGTGACAACTGTCTGTCTCACTGTCTTTATTTAATGTTGGTTCTTCTACTCTTGTTTACCCTGCCTTTACTTTTCGTCTCCCATGAATCTTTTCTAGAACTCTGGGGGGAGGAGGGGTGTTAAATCTATAAAATGAAATGAAATCTTTATGGCTTCCTCTGTGCCCCCGAACAGATCACAGGAGTGTGTCCTTCACATTTATTAGGTTGTAAACCAATAACACACTCTGTCGATGTTTCTTTTGCCTTCCTTGGGGTCTCTCTGTTCTGGGCCCTGTAGGGTCTACTTTCTCTCCTGACTCATATATTCTTATGCAGTTTGGTTTCTGTAAGGCCCATACATTATTTCGATTCTTTTTATTTATTTATTTATTTTATTTTTCTTTCTTTTATTATTTCAATTCTTTATCCAGCCTGACTGGTCTCAGATCTGATGAAACACCTGCTATGTGATTAAAAAAGCTGCCTTCCATCTTGGCTTAGTTCTATGCTGTGTCATCTATTTTGTCCTTTCACCTCAAAATTACTGCTTGTTCCAAAACACCCCACTTCACAGCACTCTGAACCTCCCACAAGGCTCTGCCTTCATCTGGGGAATACGGTGTTTCACATCGAGCTCCAGGGTGTCAGATTATAAGCCCCACTGACTTGTGTGGGATTGTCTGATCCTTCTTTTAGACGTTCAGTTAGAATGGTTAGCAAAAGGCCAACTGTTAACATTGCATAAGATCTTAGTCTCACTTATAGGTAGAATAACATATATAACTAGAGGTCCGGTGCATGGATTCGTGCACTGGTGGGGTCCCTCATGCTGGCCTGCACCCGCTCACAATCCAGGACCCCTCAGGGGATGTTGGATAGCCGGTTTCGGCCTGATCCCCACAGGCCCGATCCAGACAGGAGGGAGCCCGATCCTGTGCGTTGAGTGTCTGTCCCCTGGTGGTCAGTGAGTGTCATAGCAACAGGTCGACTGGTTGGTTGTTTAGGCTTTTATATATATAGATAGAAAGCATCATTATGTTTGTCATTGAAACATCCTCATAACTTTGGAAAATCCAAGTATGACATCTTTCATGGGACTATCTACCATTGTGTGGCAGAACCCTTTAAGAAACTAGCACTTATTGAGTTTTAGTGTGGTATCAAAGAATGTCCACAAGTAACTGAAAAGATTATTTAAAAAACTCCTCCTTTGTCCAATTATCTATTCCTGTATGGCTGGATTTTCTTTACATACTTCAACTAAAATAATATATTGCAACTGAATCCAGAAGCAGATATGAAAATCCAGCTGCAAAAATGTAAAACAAGACCACTTTTCCCACTATAAGTTTTTTGCTTTAGAAAGTAGTTATTTTTTTAAATAAAATGTTATTTTGTCAGACACCTGGTTTTATCATAGTATTTTTTCAGAAGTTAATTTTTTAACTCTCATTTTAAATTTTGAATATGGTAAATACTGATAGCTATAACTCAGCTAAACAAAAGCTCTTTGGACCTCATGATTTATGAGAGTATAAGGGAGCTCTGGGACCAAAAAAAAAATTAAGAACTGCTGCTGTAGTCTATGAGAAAATGGTCAGAATAACTTTAAAAGAAATTATTTGAAAAGTATTTTACTCAATAAAATAAATCATATATACTAGTAAGACCAAAAGAACTGAAGACAAAGCGAATGCAAGTGTGGTAAAAAACAAGGCAGAAATCCTCAGGAGACAGGAGAGAGCAAGGACAGAGAAACACAGATGGATACACCCAGTCACATACATACACACGCTAATGTTCCAGGTCCGAAGTATCACAGTAAAGTCCTCACTAACTCTCCAGAGCTCTCGCCAGCAAACATTGGAGGCCTTTTCAGAATAGGAGGGAATACTAGGACCTTCAACCAAACTTGAGCTCCTGCCCCTTCATGCTGCTCTCCTGACCGCCACCATCTCACTCCCCATGAAAGCATAAGTCTGTCCCGACCACTATGACCTTCCCACCTGCTATTTCTCTGCCTCCCTCACTGGCCTCCTTGCTGCTTCTTGAAGAAGCTGGGCATGCCCCACCTCAGGACCTTTGCAGGTGCTATTCCTTCTCCTTGAATGCATGTTCTTACTAGATACCCACAGGGCTCCCTCAGCTGCCCTGCATCATCAAGCATCACCTCCATGGTGAGGCCCACCGTGCCCACCTTATTTTAAATTGCTCAGTGGATAGAGTGTTGGCCTGTGGATTGAAGGGTCCTGGGTTCGACTGTGGACAAGGGCACGTACCTTGGTTGCAGGCTCCATCCCCCACCCCGGCTGGGCATGTGCAGGAGGCAACCAACTGATGTGTCCCTCTCACATCGATGTTTTTCTCTCTCCCCCCACCTCCCTTCTAATCTCTCTAAAAGAATAAATGGAAAAATGTCCTCGGTAAGGATTAACAACAAAAAAATAATAAATAATAAGATAATAAAATTGCAACTCCTCAGCCCAGCACTTAATGTCATCGATAGGTTCTTGAAAACTGCAATTTTAAACAAGATGACATATAAGGAAAACAATTTTACCCGAGGCTAACTGATATAAACAAGAGTTAAGTTCCTCCAGCTTATTTCTGGTCACAAAAACATCACCAAACTTCTAGAGACCCAAAACACTTCTAATATTAATCATTGAAGTAAATGTGAGCTATACATACATTTTAAAGAGATTTATAAAAAATAGTAAGATCATTCTTTTCCAACCCACTCGCTTCAGTCCAGGGTGTCGGTTGACCAAGGCCTCTCCCGGCAGCTTAGGGCACAAGGCGGGACCCACACTGGACAGGATGTCCTTCCACAGCAGGGCGCTCCCACACCCACCCACGTTCAGACGGGGACAATGTGGACACTTCACGTCACGTGCACATCTTCAGGATGTGGGAGGAAACCGGATCCCCGGAGAAAACCCACACAGACATGGGAGAATGTGCAAGCTCCACACAGACAGTGGACCCAGCCAGTACTCGGATTTTTTCCCCGTCAATGTTATAATGGAACCTTATTCGAGGACTTGCTGCACTTGAACTTGAGCACGGTTGAAAAGCCAGGTGGACAGACAGTCCTTTCCACACTGCACGCGGGTGCAAACTGTTCCTTGATTTGCAGGGCCGCTGCCCATATTCTGTTTGCGCCATCTATCACGGCTTGCACCCTTGCCTCCATCTCCAAGATTAGCTTGATCACAGCATTGTTTGCCTAAATGATTCTTTTTTTAAAAAAATCTTTATTGTTGAAAGCGTAAGTCATCCTTTTCCCCCCATCAATCTCCCCCAGCCCACTCCTGTCCCTCCCACCCCAGGCTGCATTCATCTATTAAGTTAGCCTCCTCCCCAGTATATCCTAGATCAGGGGTGGGCAAACTTTTTGACTCGAGGGC